TGCTTCAGGCAAACTTACTGGGAGATATACATCTCACATACAAAACAAATATGCCCTAGAAAAAAATATAATTACAACAAATGTAAGAGTCATAATGAGATGAAAGGGTAAAAATATAATTACAAGACATAATATCAAGATAAGACAAGATGCAAACAGATAAAATACAAAACAATGCCACTGCTAAAATCATAACTTTTAGGCTTTACCCACATTGTTCCCTCTCACATAGGTGGACCCGACATGAGAAAGGAGGCTGTGGAATTTGGATGCAGCCATAACGGTTGTGGATTTAGCAATCTCGTAAACACTACTAAAGAAGTGCATCATTCTCACGGCACCTTTACTGGCCAGACAAAGATTAATACATAACAAATATGATGGAAACAAATATGACTGGCACTTCGTCTTCAGATATGTTTAGATCGCTCACTTCATTTTAATTTTCGTATCTTCTCCATGTTCTTTTTCTTCCCTTTTACAAATCCAAGAACCAAACAAAACACAAAATAAATATTTGATGAGGAAATTACACAAATTAAACTTTTAATTTTTAATTTTTCTCAACTAAAACCCTGCACTTTATAAACTATATATATGTCGACACTCTGTCCATTTCTGTCTAGGTGTCTAATAGAGCAAAAAATGCATAGGACACATGGCACGCCTCCCCTATTCCCTGGCATAATTTTTATTCAAATATATATATGATGTGATACCATTTACAACAGAGGAAGCAAACTAAAGGCCAAAAGCATACCACTTAATTAAAAACAAACTACTAGTTATTAATTCAATTTGGAAATATTAAAAAGAAGATATGGACCGATAATAATAATCAATTCACCAAACTAATTTAGTCGTCCATCGATTATTCCGGTATCAAGATGCACGGATGCTGTGATATCCTCTATAAAACATCTTTTTTACTTTTAACAAAAATCTCACCAAATGCAAAATCAAATCTTTTTCACGGACTCGCATGAGAATCAATTATAGTGATAGAGTACACAGACAGAGTAGAAAGTAGATTCTCTTTGTTTGTAGAAACACAAAAAATCTCTCTATAAAACCAAACTCATTACTCTTTCTCTTACTCAATTCTCTTGCAAAAACAAAACCCAAAACAATGTCCTCTGTTTCTCCCCAAAACAGGGGAAACTCTGTTTTCCTCTGTATTCACATTTTCATCTTCTTTCTCTACTAATTCTCCCTCATCTCCTCCCGGGTTTTTTCCCAAACCACGCCTTCTTTCGCCTGCGACATGGCGGGGAATTCTGGGCTGGGGATTTTTGGGTTCTGTGATCGGTCGTTGGGGGTGAAGAAGAGGGTTAAGGACTTGGCGAAGAGGCTGACATTGCAGGAGAAAATCGGGTCCTTGGGGGACATTGGAAGGAGTGTGAGTAGGCTTGGAATTCCAGAGTACAAGTGGTGGTCTGAGGGTTTACATGGTGTAGCACCAGGCTGGCATGGTGGGACAAGGTTCTCTGAATTAGTCCCTGGAGCTACTAGCTTTCCTCAGGTTATTCTCACTGCGGCTTCTTTCAATGTCACTCTCTTTGAAGCCATTGGAAAGGCATATATATATATATGTCTACATTTATATAATAATGTTCTTTAGTTTATGTTTCTAGGAATGCAGAAACTGATCGTAGAAATGTGATGTGAATTCTGTCTTTTTGCGAGTCCCACACTCGTGTAAGAGTGTTGTGTTTGATTGTGTGGTTAGGTTTTGCATAATTATCATGAATTGTAATCAAATATGATGTTTGATTTGTTCAGAACATCACGGTTTTGAGATTGCTTTAGAAAAGGACTTGTTTCTGGAAATGGGTATTTTTTAGATTGGTTAAAAGATCCATAGCCCTCTCTCTCTCTCTCTCTCTCTCTCTCTCTCTCTCTCTGTGTGTGTCTCAGTATCTGGCATTAAATTCACTATTGGGTTAGTTCACATTTTCATTTTGTGATTTATTTATAAAGTTTTGGGCAATATTGTCACACAAAAAAATTTGATTAGAGGAACATAAATTGTTTTTTTTTATTCATGTTTTTTTTATTTAATGGTTCATACTTTGATTCAGGTTAAAAACTCCGCGAAGATCAGGGGTGGTCTTTAATTTCAGTATTTCAGTTGGATTTATAATTTATTGGCCATTAATGATTTATTAGTTTGGTTTTCTGTTTCTAAGACTGAGGAATGAAATTAAATTATCTCAAGAAGATTCATTGCATTACTAATTTTGTAGTTTTTTTTTTGGGTTAAAACATTTCAATGTTATATGCAAATGACTGTGCTGGTTTGCTTGCTTGGTTGCTGAGAAACTTGATGAATCATTTAGTGCAAGGAAATGTGCATACCGGGCTTCATTCATATAAGAATGCAAAATTTTGGTTTTACAGATACAATTTTAAGCATGATTTATGCAACCTATTTCTAGTCCAATAAGTCGACTAAGTTAAAAATGAACAATTTTCAACGACATTTTTGTATGTAGGCGGTTTCCACCGAAGCTAGAGCAATGTACAATGTCGGTTTAGCAGGATTGACATTTTGGTCCCCAAAAGTCAACATTTTCCCGGACCCCAGATGGGGACGAGGCCAAGAAACTCCCAGAGAAGACCCGTTGCTGACAAGTAAATATTCTTCAGCTTATGTGAGAGGCTTACAACAAAGGGATGATGGAAACAAAGACCGGCTCAAGGTTGCCGCATGCTGTAAACACTACACAGCATATGATGTCGATCATTGGAAAGGCGTTGACCGCTTTGAATTCAATGCAGTAGTAAGTCCTGTTTTGAGGAATTTCTGAGTCAGTTTTTGTTTTTGTTTTTGTTTTTTCAATTTCTAAAATTTGCTAATGTAATGAGTTAGGTGACAAAGCAAGATATAGACGACACATTTCAGCCCCCATTCAAGAGCTGTGTTCTTGATTGGAATGTTGCAAGTGTCATGTGTTCCTACAACCAAGTCAATGGCAAGCCAACTTGTGCCAACCCTGACCTCCTCAAAGGGGTGATCCGAGGGGAATGGAAACTAAATGGGTATTTGTTATATCCCACACTCTTCATGACCTTTTCTAACCCATCATCGCCATTTGAGTTAACATTCGAAACCTCTATATGCATGAATTTTTTATTTCGCAGATACATAGTTTCGGATTGTGATTCAGTAGAAGTGTTCTATAAGCACCAACACTACTCAAAAACACCCGAGGAGGCTGCAGCCAAGGCTCTATTGGCAGGTGACCAAGATTTCCACCCTTAGATTCGATCAATCAAAACATTTATAGTTTTGGATTAGTTAAGCTAAACACTTAAATTAACTAAAGAGATAATACCTACTTTCTTGATTTGGTAACACTTTAGCACATGACATCCGACAAATAATTAAAAAAATTCCATCCTAAAGAAATTTATATGCCAAAATGATCAACTGACTAATTTGATTCAACAGGGCTAGACCTCAATTGTGGAGCTTACCTAGGAAAATACACAGAAGGTGCAGTGAAAGCCGGGCTAGTGAATGAATCGGCCATTGACAGGGCCATATCAAACAATTTTGCAACGTTGATGCGCCTTGGCTTCTTTGATGGTGACCCAAGCAAGCAACACTATGGGAAGCTCGGTCCAAAAGACGTATGCACCCCAAAGAATCAAGAGCTAGCCCGTGAGGCAGCCAGGCAAGGGATCATGTTGCTCAAGAACAGCCAAGGCTCGCTTCCTCTATCTCCCACTGCCATAAAGTCCTTGGCGGTTATAGGTCCCAATGCCAATGCCACACTAACCATGATTGGCAACTATGAAGGTATGCAATTCAAAAAACATTGATTTAAAAAAAAAAAAAAAACACTTTTGTTAATCATTTTGGATATTATGTTGCAGGCACTCTGTGCAAGTACACAACACCTTTGCAAGGCCTCACAGCATCAGTGCCCACCGCCAACGTACCTGGATGTGCCGAGGCCGATGTGGCATGTAGTGCTACCCAATTAGACGATGCTAAGAAAATAGCAGCTTCATCAGATGCAACTATTTTAGTAATGGGCGCGGATCAATCTATAGAAACAGAGGGTCACGACAGTGTTGATCTGACTCTTCCAGGACAGTAACAACTTCTAGTGACTGAAATTGCAAAGTGTATCCAAGGGGCCTGTAATTCTTGCCATAATGTGTGGAAGGGGCATGGACGTGCAATTTGCGAAAGATAATGATAAGATAACGAGCATCCTATGGGTCGGATACCCTGGTGAAGCTGGTGGCGCCGCCATCGCAGATGTGATTTTGGGGTATCACAATCCAAGTATGTGTATTATTTTGCACTTTTAACACATACTGATTATGAACAATTCCCAAATAAATTCTTGAATTGGGTCAAATTAGTCTACAATGATAAATTTCTCAACTTGCATTTTCCCACCATGTCTGTTAAAAGTGAATTCATCGTTGTGTTTTTATTGCAGGTGGGAGGCTGCCCATGTCATGGTATCCACAGTCATATACCAAGAACATTCCAATGACAAACATGAACATGAGACCGAACCCTTTCACCAGCAACCCTGGTAGAACCTACCGGTTTTACACCGGTCCAACCATTTTTACATTTGGGCATGGACTAAGCTACACTTCGTTCAACCACCACCTAGTTCAAGCAACTAAGTTAGTCTCAATTCCCTTGGCAACACATTAACTTGATTCCTCTATAGTTGTTGCAATTCTTATTATTTTGCACTTTTAACACATACTGATTATGAACAATTCCCAAATAAATTCTTGAATTGGGTCAAATTAGTATACAATGATAAATTTCTCAACTTGCATTTTCCCACCATGTCTGTTAAAAGTGAATTCATCGTTGTGTTTTTATTGCAGGTGGGAGGCTGCCCATGTCATGGTATCCACAGTCATATACCAAGAACATTCCAATGACAAACATGAACATGAGACCGAACCCTTTCACCGGCAACCCTGGTAGAACCTACCGGTTTTACACCGGTCCAACCATTTTTACATTTGGGCATGGACTAAGCTACACTACGTTCAACCACCACCTAGTTCAAGCAACTAAGCTAGTCTCAATTCCCTTGGCAACACATTAACTTGATTCCTCTATAGTTGTTGCAATTCTAGACATCTCCTTTATTCTTATAAATTAGCATTAAAGTACTCTTGCTCCACTCATCTGGCATGTTCCTAGTCAACAAAATTTTGCTAAACAACCTAGTCAACCAAGCAATTCCCTTTTTACCCAAACACTTCCAAGCTTCAATAGAGATATCATCGGGTCCTAAAGCTTTATTTGATTTCATCTTCTTAAGTGCAATTTCCACTTTAAAATTCCTAATCCTGCGATAGAACCTACAGTCTTGGTTTATCGTATTACTGGTTATTTCTTCCCCTATTGGCGTACCTCCATGTTCCTCATTTAATAGTTTCTCAAAATAGTTCTTCCATCTTTCCTTAATCTCTTTATCCTTCAGCAATACCTTAGAATCATCACTCTTGATGCACTTAACTTGATTAAAATCTCTTGTTTTCCTCTCCCGGATCTTAGCAAGTTTGTATACCCTCTTCTCTCCCTCCTTACTATCTAGTCTAGTGTATAGGTCATCATAAGCTTTCAACTTAGCCTCTCTCACAACTTTCTTGACCTCCTTATTAACCAATCTGTAGCTCTTAAGGTTTTCTTCAGTTCTATCATTCTGTTACTTTTTAAAGAACTCTCTTTTTGCCTTAACTACGGTTTGAACCTCTTCCCTCCACCACCAAGTTTCCTTAGAGCTGGGTCCCATTCCTTTAGACTCTCCAAGCACTTCCCTTGAGATTCTCCTCATACAATTGGCCATCGAGTTTCACATAGTGTTAGCATCATCTTCGAAGTCTCAAGTACCTTCCTTATCCATTCTATTCTTAAATATTTTTAATTTATCTCCTTTTAGGTCCCACCATCTCGTCCTACGACGCCCACCATCCTTCCTAGCTTGGTATTGCCCTCTAAAACATAAATTTGGTACCAAAATCTAATGTTGAGAGGTCAGGCTCTCTTCAAGAATCACCTTACAATCATTGCATTTTAGGCGGTCCACTTTTCTCACTAAGAAGTAATCTATTTGGCTTTTAACTAACCCACTCTTAAAGGTTATCAAATGCTCCTCTCTCTTCTTATACATAGTATTGGCCACCACCAGGTCAGAAGCAAACGCAAAATCTAAGATACTCTCTCCAGCCTTATTTTTGTCACCAAAACCGTATCCGCCATGCACCATTTCATAGCCTAGTTTATCCATGCCTGCATGGCCATTAAAATCTCCACCTATAACCAGGTTCTCTCCTACGGGTATCTCCTGTAAGATCTCATCCATTTGCTCCCAAAAATCCCTCTTAGTCTGATCATCTAATCCTACTTGAGCGGCGTATGCACTAATAACGTTCACTATATTCCCTCCAATAACTAGTTTAATTAATATAATCATATCTCATTTCCTAATGATCGCCACTACATTCTCTACAAGACCCTTGACAATTATGATTCCTATCCCATTCCGGTGTCTATCCTTACCACTATAATACAGTTTAAAACAAGTATCCTCAATTTTCCTAGCTTTTTCACCTGTCTACTTAGTTTCTTGTACGCAAGCTATACTAACTCTCCTCCTAATCATAACATCTACCAATTCCATCGTCTTACCAGTTAAGGTTCCTATATTCCAAGTGGCTACCCTAAACCTATAGTCTTGGACTAACTTCTTTACCCGTGCTCGTCTAGAAAAATGCGAGAACCTTTGCCCATTTTTCACTGCACCCAGGCGTCGATGTAGCGCCCCTTGCTCACTTTTCGAAACAGCTGGAGGCAGGTGCAACGCGTCACTTGAGGGAACGACCTAGCATTTACACGATTCAAAGTAGGATTCATTTTCATAAGGGATCTGAGCGGCTTTTTTACGTGTTGGTTGTCGGCTACCTTTATGATTTTCTTGATTCATATAGTCTCACTATAGTTTATGCTTTTTAGTTCCTTTTCTTAATGGTGTCTGTCTGGCATGTCTTTTGACTTTCTTTTCCAATATTTCACGAGATGTCCGTCTTTAGGCTTTCTTAACTCTTGACTACCCACTCTTGAAGAAATATTTCGTATAAACTAGCTCAACTTTTCTGCTCACACCTTCCATTTGGGTTGGCTATGGAAATAAGACAGTAGGCTTAACATTGATTTCTTTAGTGTGCAACCATAGGAGATGGTACTACTCGATATAGTTGTGATTGTGCTGCTTCTCTCCCTTCTTTGTACCCTAACTTGTAAGCTAGGATTCTTTGAAATTGCTGCATTATTGCATAGTGTTTTATCTGGTGATTGAGTTCCTCTTGGCCTTTTGTCTGCTCATCAAGCATTTTATTCCATAAAAAGGTTTTCAAAAGCTCTGCATGGTTGCCTTCTTATCCTTGAGAATGCAAAAGCTAATTGAAGAGCTTTATTCTCTTCTGCAAGCACAACTTTGATTGAAGATCAGAATGAATGATATTTTCGTAGGTATACATAACTGAAATGCAGGAACTTATACTATGTTTGGTTGGACAAACAGGTTGAGCATTTTGGCAAAGTCTCAAATGCGCCTTTCTAAGTTGGATGAGTTGCGTCAAGCTGCTAAAACTGGGTTAGAAATGCGTTTTAAGAAGGAATGTGCAGAGCTAGGTACAAAAGTGGAGTCACAGGTTTAGCAGGCAGAGGCAAATAGAATGCTTATTCTCAAGGCTCGCAGGCAGCAAATTTAAGTCAGAGAGGAAGGTTGCACAACTCTGATCGTGTTAATTGAAATAAGATGCACAAGGAGGCCGAACTCCTCTCCCTAAAGTTAGCAAGGTACACGTTCTGTAAAACATCATCAACCTTCAATATGGGAAAGTTAATAATTTTTGAGTATTTTCTGGCATCTTTCTATTATTTGTTATGGTTTACTTTTCTAAAGGCGAATACCTGATCAAGTTGGCCAGCGTTTTTGAGTTGAAAATGGAAATAAGCTGAAAACTTGGAAAATTTTGTCAAACAACCCAACTTTTCTTAGTACAACTACTTAAACGCAGGATTTCAAAATTTAAGCTAAATAAGCTACAAATAAGTTTTTCCAAACAGGCCTTAAAGTTGTCTCTACCTATCTCATATGTTGTTATTATCTTGAGGGAGTCGTTTATTTATTTTTATTTTTATTTTTAGTGTTGTTGGAGTTAAATAATGTTTGTATTTTGGTGTGAATGACAAATAATAACACAGCA